TTTTCAATTTTGCATTAATGCTGATTGCTAACTCAATCTCGATGAAAAAAAGTAAGAACGTCCACAACTGCATAAAAAAACCTCTATTCCTGAAGTAAATTCTAGCCGTTCTTGCTCGGCTCATATAATATTCGAAATTGGAAAAAAGGTCAAAAGAATGAATGGTATACTCGTTTGTCTTATTTTGTTGAGCAATAATTAGACACTGTCAAGTATAATTCCTTCCTTAATGAAATCACATAATCAAAATCGAAAGGAAAGAGACGGAACGAAACCACTCGTTCGATAGGGAGAAGAGCAAAACCACTTTAGAGTTCAATTGGGTGAAGGAGAAAGAACCTTTAACCTATTTCCCTCGTGAAAGAAAAAAGATAGTTCAAACCCTCGTTCAAGAAGTCCCCAAAGAAAGGAGGAGGTTCGGGAGTGAAGGAGAATAAACGTTTCCTTAAACCTTCCTTCAATCACAAAACAGTTTCTATATATCTGCACTCTCCATCAAAGATAGTTTCATCCTGTCTTAAACGATCTAAGGTTACTCGACTCTCCGACCCCTCATGGCACATTGGAGAGTTCGCTGAGCTTGCCATTTTCTTAATATCAAATAGAAGTTGTCAAGATTAGGTGCAATGATTATAATATGTAATTGAATTTGCAGGAGTTGTGTATTTTTTATTTATTTATAAATTTAATGACTAAATTCAAAATTTTTAAAATTTAGAGATAGTTGATCTTTTTTACCCATATTTAAAAAATTCAAAATTTTATTTAGTAAAATTCATTATTTTTGTTTTAAAAAATGGTGAATATATTAAAAACGTATTAGAAAAAAGATGAAAGTTTAGTTTTGATATTTTTAATATTTAAAGACGTAATTATTAGATACCATTGAAAGTTTAGAAATTTATTGAAAATGATTTAAAATTAGGGTCGGATTTAATCTAAAAAAAATTATAATTTAACCTAATATTAACGAGAATTTTTAAAGGTGTGAAATATCCCGAGAAAAGTATTACCGGATAAAATTAAGTCGTAAAAAGAATGATGTCATTGTACCAAAAAGTTGAAATAATGACCACAAAACCCATTAAAAAAATAACATTCATGTTTTAAATTAAAAGTCAATTACTTCAACAATTTTTAGTGGTTTCACTGTTTAATTATTTACTTTTTGAATTTTAGTGGGAAAGAAAATTAATATTTTATATGATTTTATATTTTCATAATACTAAATCACTCGATATCGTTCCAAAAAATCGATGATTTAATCTCATTATCTCAAGAACAGATAGACAAAAAAAAAAAAAAAAAAAAA